GCCTCCGGCGCGAACGTCGCGCGGCTGGAGGGGGGGCGCGATCTGGCGCCCCCTCGCTGCGATGCGCGGGCACGCCCGCGGCGGCGCCTGCGTGGCACAGGAGCGCCTGGGAGCGTCTGGGACCCGGCGCACGGGAGCGCCTGGGAGCGCTTAGGGGCGCCGGGGGGCGCTTGGGAGCGCCGGCGAGCGCCTGGGGGCGCCTGAGAACGCGCGCCCCCGAGCGCCTGGGAGCGCCTGGGCGCCCCCGCCGCAGCGATTGCATTTATCGACGCTGCCGCCTCCGCCGCGAATTTCGCACGGCTGGAGGGGGGGCGCGAGGGGGTGAGTTTGGCACCCCCTCGCTACGGTGCGCGGGCATGGCTGCGGCAGCGCATGCATGGCGGGGGGCCGCTGGGGAGCGCTCGCCAGCGACTGGGAGCGCCTGGGAGTTCCTGGGAGCGCCTGGGCGCGCTTGGGAGCGCTGGAGAGTGCTTGGGGGCGCCTGGGACCGCTTGGGGGCGACTGGGAGCGCCGGCGAGCGCCTGCGAGCGCTTCGCGCGATGCGCTCTGCGCAGGCAAGCGAGCCCGCCTTGCCGCGCTGCTCGTCGTTCAAGGGCTCCCAGGAGCATCCAAGAGATCCCAAGCGTTCCCCGGCGCTCCCAGGCGCTTGCGAAAGCCCCCTGGCGCTGCCAGGCGTTTCCAGGCGTTCCCAGGCGCCCCCCGGCGCGCCAGGCGTTCACAAGCGCTTTCAAGCGCCCCCAAGCGCTCCCAGGCGTTTCCATGCGTTCCCAAGCGGTTCCAGGCGCCCTCAGGGTTCGCCGGCGCCCCCAGGCGCGCCCAGGCGCCCCCTGGCGGCCCCAGACGCTCCCAAGCGATCCTGACCGATTCCAAGCGCTCCGAGGCGTTTCCAGGCGCGCTCCCTGGCGCTCCCAAGCGATCCCCGAAGCTCCCAGGCGGTCCCAGGCGCTCCCAAGCGGTCCCAGGCGCGTCCCGGGCGATCCTATAGGCGCCCCCCGCAAGGGTTCGCTGGGAGTTGCGAGATCGCCACGGAACGTCATGGGTCGCCGAGAAGCACCCCAGGCTTTGGGCGGCGGCCCAAAGGTCGCCAGGCGTCCCCAGGGATTTTCACGATCGCAGGGGTGATATCGTAAGGGGGATGAGCGCGAATCGCCCGTAATTTGCGAGGGATCGCGTCTCGGGAGGACGAATGTTTATATCTATCTATATATAACGCGTCTTCTGGAACAAGAATTTACCATGGCGGCGGACAAAAGCGAACCGCGCGGTTCCAGGTTCAGTTTTTTTTTTCTTGTTTCTGTTCTGACGGGGCGCAACACCAGCGTCGGCTTGAGTGCTACCTGTGGGCTCGACTAGCGCTCGCCCCTAGCCACCGATAGCGTTCGAGGTCGAAAGCGCGACCCAGCGGGGCCGCGCATCAGTTCACGATTTCAGGGGGGTGGGGTTGACGTTTCCTAGCTTCCACCAAGGGCGGTCAAATGGAAAGGAGGGGTAGCTAAGCCGCCCCCCCACTTTGGGCAATGGGGGGAAGGGGGGGGAGCTTCT